TCCTGATCAGACTGCGCGGATGCGCAGGCTGGTCTAGGTTCATGCTGGTCGCAAACCCATTATGTTGGTTTTGTCGTGACACGGCTCATATTAAAAATAACTGACGTACCTCCAAACTTGGAATAATAAAGCCTATAACCATTTGAGCTCGATACCTGAGCGGTGGCATTAAGAGGGTGTTTGGAGTGAAGTAGGCACCTTTCTTGGTCCGGATTGTAGCTCGCCGCCTGACACTGCGTTTCATACTTCATACACTCATTTACACACGATGTAGCAGACGGTCTTTGGCAGTCTGTCATCACATCTCCTGAACTTTTATCTTTTAGACTTAATAGTAAATTAGTCCTTATTTCACAAAAATGTGTTCCACATTGGACCAGTACCGTTATCATAATAATGTAATTTATATACGATACAATATCCATTGCAAAATAAAAGTCCGTAGAAAAAAGTATTTTAATTGCTTTTTTACAGAATTATATATATATATATATATATATATATGCTATACGTACGTAGAACGCGCTCCATTAAACGCATCTGCAAATCTGTTCGCGTGGTAAGTATCTAAATTATACTAATTGGACCATTCAACTGGAATTGTTTAAGTCATATCGATTAATGACATCCCGATATTTGCTTTGACTAATGGCTGCAGTTTTTGTCTTTTCAAAATGTTCTAAAATAATGGTACGCAAATAATTTTCCCCAATTTATGATAGAATGGAAAGTTAAGTGTGAACAAATATTCATTTATATTTGAAAATAAATGTCATAAGCATATTTTTAAAATCTAATTATTACCATGTTTGAATAATTGTTCAGGATGCCAATAATCGAATGAATATCTTTTGTCATAGTTGCAAAATAGAAAGCTGCAATATAAAATTAAGAAATAGAGCTAAATACTAGTACACTTTGTATGTCCTCTTTCGAATTTTCAAAATTATTCACCGATTACTCTATGGCGTGAAAAAGGACATCATTTTGCAAATGACTGTTTACCAAAATGTGATTTAATTATTATTTGAAATTCATGTTTCCATCCAAGTAAAGAGCTAAAAAAATCGTTTTAAATTTTGTTGAACTATAATTATGAAAGGACATCATTTTGAAAATATTTAAGAAAGTGTGATAGCGTTTGTGCTAACTATTTTGGCGTTTCTGAAGTCAATCAATCAATCCCCCCCCCCCCCACAAGTCGCCCAACCTGTAAGTAACGTTATCACATCCCTCTTTCACCTCTCCCAAATAGCGTATTATACATTCGCTCCATGCCTTTCCTGTGTAAATTTTACCATACTTGCCCGCCTCTTCAGAGTAACATTTAATACAACCTTTCCAGAGATCTTTTGAGCTTTTTTCACATTCCTCAAAGCCTATCAGTCCTCTCCCCAGCTTCTACTTATTAACTTTTTCACGTGCCTCATCCGCCTCTCTTGAGGCACATTTTCCCGTTTCCCCATCGCCTATTCAGAGTAATGTTTTCACATCTCTCACCCACCGCTCCAGAGTAAGATTTTCACGTAACGCCTCTACTCTTTCCAGAGTACTGTTTTCACATCACGCCCGATTACTTACAGATACGTTTCACGTTTGTCCCGATTAAGTCATTCCAGTGAACGTCTTCATATCTCTCAAAAGTCCCTCCAGAGACTAACACTTACAAGCGTATCCCTATACGTCCGTCCTTAGAAAATGTTCATGTCCTTTCTAGAACCCCTCTACAGTTACTGTGCAAGTGTGTAAGTTGAGTGGTTACATGTTCTGACTATAAATGTAGGTGTCCCAGGTTCAAACCCAGCTATGACAACTAAACAACTAAAATAATTATTAGTATATGTTGGGTCATGCACCAGTGATACATATATTGGTGATTTTACGGTGCTTTGGGCGTGATGGATGTTGCACATTATTCATCATCCATCGTGTACAGACTCGATCAAACTCAATCAAAGAGATCACATTTTTTCCAGATATTTTAAAATCAATATTTGTTTATTAATAAATACAGTTCTAATATGGTAGAATCATTTATTAAATACTAGTACATGTACACGATAAGTCTCATTTACATGAACAAAAAAGTGTCCATGGTGATAATGATTTTTAACATAGTCCTATATAAACATAAATTAACATATGCATGTCAAGTGCTTTGTATTACAAGTTTAACAAATACTACTGGCAAACAATGTGACAAAATTTCTATTAGGATAAACAGTTTAATATAATGCATGTATTGATCGAGAAGTTGTATTCTTATTGATGAAGCTATAGCGTTTAATACCCAAGGTCCTTGCTGTGACACAAACTCCTATACGCAGTGGTATGAAATACTGGTGGGGATATTTCAACTTCATGAGTTCCTAATTTCATCTTCCTGAATTCACAATTTTAACATACGGAATTCACGATTTCAGCTTCATGAATTCACGATTTCAAAATAATGAATTACCGATTTCAACTTTTCAACTTCACGAATTCACGCTTTCAACTTCACGATTTTACGATTTCAACTTCATGTTTTCACGATTTCAACTTGTCAACTTCATGAATGCACGATTTCAACTTCACGAATTTAACTAAATTCAACTTAACCGAGTCGATGTTTAAGTCTCCACTCATACACACACACACACATACAAAGTGGCCTATTAGTTGGAAAAAATCATCTGCGTCTTTATTACCGTATTATTATAACCTTTGTAAGTTTCCAAAGCCTCATTCAGATGTCCAGGCATGACCTTGACGTAATACACTATGTAATATGTCTAGTCGAAAAGACCTGGAAAATAAAAAATAAATATATAAATGAATAAATACCATTCTTTAAATAAATATCATGCAATAACGTGTTTTGACAAGACGGGACTAAACATTTTTTGCAGGATTTGTGACCATTTGATGTAGTTCCCTACCATTATCTTATTTGAATGCTCACTCCGTTTTAAAATTTGATTTCCAGAATATTTATTTTTATTGCGTAAAATGACTTTAATTGAAAAGCATTTAAATGCTTTTAGCTCTACTCGGGTTAAAATCACACTTATTAAATATCGATTTTCAATTTATCAGTATCTTTCCTTATCATCTCTTTAGTGCTATTTTAATGTCACAATTGATCTTAGTATTTTTGGTAATTTTTTTGTTTTCAAACTTTAAGACCTCAGTGAAGTTCGTTTATTTTTCTCTTTTTTTTTAAACAACTTTTCAAATCGTGGCCATCACCATTGAAATACATCAAGGATTTATTTTGCGTTGGACATAATCCCTGACTTCAGTTATAAAATTTCATGCCCTTGACTCCCTGTTTCTCTTTTAGGCCAGCAAAGAAAATTCTATCGTAACTTGCCTTTCATTTTCGTAATTCTTCCGCCGTTCTATTTATAGAATTGCAATCAGCAATTTGGCGATGTATAATACCTTTCTCGCAGATACTGCCACCATATGTTGAAAAGCAATCCTTATGATCGTTCCAAGCAAAGCCCCATTTTCCCAACATGTCTACACATCCACCTGTAGCGTCTGGTTGGCCTTGTCCCCAGCCGTTCTTATAGCTGATACCTGTACCGTCATACCATCTATATTCATTATACTGGTCCGAGAACCGGGCACCAATCCAATAAAATCCCATACCATGTTCTGAATTCAAAGAAAGGAAAATTAACCAATTTAAATAAATCTTTCAAACTTTACTGGCAGATGAGTATAACAAATTACATTGTAGTTCATCTTTTCAGACAAATATTAATGCTATCGAAACTTGTAAAGAATACCACACTCAGATTTTGTGGGAAATCAAGCAAGATTAAACATGAAATAACAATCCATGCAATTTGATTTTCCCCCTAGAACATTTATGCCTCAAGTTTTTTATCATTCGAGACGGTGTTTATGTTGTATGAAAATATGAATAGTTTCATTTAGAACATACCTGCACATTTATCCCGCACAAATGTATCTTCTGCCTCGTTGTCAACTTTAAGTAAGTTTGAGTCCATGCCTCTACAAAATGTCTGAAATAAGAGACGGCTGAAAGCATATATAGGTATCATTTTGGTGTGAACCTTATAGACTGTTTATTTTTGTATCAATCCGTTACAAAGATGCCGGTAAGGACAAGACTAATGTTATCTTCTCGATGCCTCCTCAACAAATTCTTTTTGTTGGACTGCAGCTAAGTTTGGCAAACTGCTAGCTTTAATTAATGCATGATGCGTACGTACCAACAGTTTAATCATAAAATCTGGCCATCTGTCTGTTTAATTTCAAAACATTATATTTTAAATTTGAAATCCATTACAACAGAAAAAAACGAAACAGACTCTTATTTAAAAAAGACACTGCAGAAAATGCAAGTCATTTAAAGGTCAAACTGAACTATCGTGAAGTTCATAGAATTAATACGATAATATGAATATATGAGCCGCGCTACGACAAAACCAACATAATGCGTTTGCGACCAGCAAGGATCCAGACCAGCCTGCGCATCCGCGCAGTCTGATCAGGACCCATGCTGTTCGCTTACAAACAATTAATTCTTATTAAATTGTTGTTTTGTTCTTGTTGTTGATAGTCAGATTTAAAATTAATATGCATTCATTTCATTATTTTCACTTTTTAACAAATCTTTAAATATTTATATGGTTCTTCGTAAAAAATTACGTCATCATTATCATCATCGTCGTTACCAAACATAACAAAAACTTTCGTACTCACATCGGCTTGTACCCATGACAGTTTGTTAGTAACAAACATATAACACCTAGTCTCAAACCTTTCCCAGCCTTCGTCACATTCTTGAAGAGAGAATAGTGAAGTTCTTACATATAATTACAAAACATCAACGCAGCAACTGTATACTGAGTTCCAGAAGAAAGTTTGCACTTGATACGCATACTTATTAAAGCAAAATATTGCTATATTTGTAGAAAAAAATGAACTGACTACACGATGGTTCACATGTAATTGAAATTTGATTATTATGAAATCGTTGGTTACCTGTAATCAGCTGAGGGACGATAAATAAAAGTTGCATAATTGTGCCTTTTATAAATACGGAACATCATTCAGAGCCATATATTGATACGTCAGGTCCCTGTAGACACCTTCGTCGATCCATTGTTGAGATGGACGCAACGGATACTGACAAAGTTGACCACTAAAGCCCGTTTTTGAACAAATTACGTCGTTGCGTATCCTTGGCAACTGTTACGGGTATCACAACGCCAAAGGCGGACAAAATATCTTTAATTCTACAGTATTCGACGAAAATCATTTTCCCTTTATGCTGATATAACATTTATTGTTTTGCGCCGAAAAATGTTTGAAAAATGGAAAGAAAATTGTAATTTTTGTGTAAAATTTGACGGGCTTTTAGTGGTCAACTTTGACGTCATATGTACAAAAAAATGGCTAACACTATTGGAATGAAAACAACGGAATCTAATCTGAAATATATATGGTCAACTTTTTACATGCCAATTTTCAAGACGTTACTAAAAGTCCGCAGTGTCACATTTTATCTTAAACAGTATCCGTTGCGTCCATCTCATCGAGACAACAAAACTAGCGTTAAAATCACAATTCTGCAACGTTTCCTTTTCACCCTTCCACTATATTTACACGAAAATCATCAAATTTCAATACAATATACACCATTGTATTGTCAATACAGTTTCTGCAAATTTGCCACTATTTTGCTTATGTATGTATACAGAATTTGTAACCATTTGTACACTTTCTTTTGCGTATGTATCAAATTGCTGGCTGTCATGAATATAATGCTGTAAAATGATGTTATATTTGTACATACATGGCAATGTCTTTAATGTCTTTATTAATGTGCTGTTTTATGAAACACGGTTTTGCATTTATTTTATTTTATTTTGTGATATTTCTTTTATACTTTCTACATTTTCCTTAAGTTTACACAAAATATTATTCCTGAAAACAATTCTAAAATTACATAATAGTTTATACATACTTATAATTTATTTCAACAGCAGCGAAATGGAAATTCTGAATGTCGAGACCACTTGGGCGAAACTTGATCATGTTTTGGCAAAGTTAGCTCAAATAACCAACCAATCTGAAACATTATATTACAGAATCATCCATATTTTATATAAATTATCACATACCAGCGGTCAAGGAGTAGTAGAGCGAAAACCCAGCAGCGCTAGTCAGCTGAGCTGTGGAACTGTGTGGGTGATCCATATGTAGCAAGCATCGTCTTTCGCTGTGACTGAAACTCACAGATCGGCATTGAGGTGTATACAGCACACATTTATTGATACACGAAATGGCTGTATATTTTTGATCGTCCGAAATCGCATTTACTAACCGTGAGTCCTTTTCACGAATCATTGTGTCAGTTTGAATTTTACAAATAACAATTCCACCTTTAAGCAGTCCAATTACAAAAATATACCCGAAAATTAATAAAATCATTTTAATATACAAAGTAAAAAGAGATCTTTGAAACTGAATGTTAATGTACGAATTCATCTGTCTTTTTGACATAACTCTGATATCATAAAATTTTATGTCGATAGCTTATGCAATTCAAGTGTTTGAATTCATTGTTTCAAAAATTAAAATCAATCACGAGTACATTAAAGTAAACATTAAATCAAAATACAAAATTGATTTCTGATACAATTTTGCGAATCCGCATGTAAACAATTCAATTCATTTACTATTTTATATTATTTTATCCAGGGTATTTTGAATAGAACCGGAAAGATCCTGTTGTATCTACAGCATGCCAGTACAGGATAATTGACGGAATAGTGTACATAATATTATATTGTCACGATTAAACTATATAATTATATAACCTCGCTCTCAGAATAAATATTGGATATGTTGAAAAAAAATTTATATAACAGTATTCTTGCTCAAAGCTTTATGGGATGAAGTTTTTTTTTATAGTTATTAAATACACAGTCATGCACTTAAAATATTGACACTTAAAGGGCGATTTGACAAATTTTGGGAATTAATTAAAGCAGTTAGCAGTAGGAAATGTTCTAAGAAGTAAACGAAACTTTGGCAAATTAATGAGAAGTGAGCATTGGGTAAACAAAGGAGACCATTATGAGCTATATCTATATCTAATATCAGCATTATTAAAGACAATCGAGGCGATTATTTTACAATATAACCAGTTTTACTCCTTTGAAAAATGAGGTATCCATGTGCTGGAATTTATACTGAACTTATGGACTAGGTGATACTCGATATAATTATACTGGGAATGAAATTTCGTAGTTACCATAATGTCCATATGATTGGTTTCTAAGATTCTGATATTTGATACACTCATCATACCGTGACAGTACATTCTTTTTAACTATGCGAACATCTTTGTACTGAATTTATATTTCTTTTATAAAACCGGGTATAACAATATAATTATGATAATACTACAGGTGTTCGGCGAGTTAATTGGTCACTACCCCCCCCCCACTGTACAACGTACCCTCCTACCTCTCCAAAACCATGTCAACTGCAGTATTTTTCATTTGAAATATGTTTTATATTAATTCAATTTCCGTCATTTTCCGACAAAAAAATAAAAACGATACATACATATAAAGTGGAATACATATAAAATTTATTTAATTTATATATAAACACCTATGGATAATACAAACTCTGGTTTCACGAATTCAAGCAATTGTTGTTATATGATTATTAATAGTAAACGTAATATTTTCGCTAAGAAATATTTAATTTCAATTTTTCAACACCTAAATTTTTGTTAGATAGGATTCTAGCGCTCGGAAGAACGTATTTAGTGGTATAATACCTAATGTCTCACCTACTCTTTTCTACAGAAAACTATTTTTATGATAAACCGATTTGAAATTGTTGTTATTAAATTAACTACACATTTTCAATAATATTGAGTTATTTACGAAAAAGGTGTTGGTTTCCTTGATTGCACAAGATAGATTTTAGCGGTATGGATATGTATCGTTTTTAATTTGACCGGAGAAAGTGATATTTTTGCGAGTTTTCACTTAAATCATATGTTTTCGCGAGGATTATATTTTTTTTCAGGAAACTAGAGTTAAATAGTTTATATAATTTCTGCCAGTATAAATTTTGTGTAATATTTGTTTATGATATGATACATGCACAATGATAAAATTGTCGTTAACTTGAAATATGTAATGAATTCTAGTAATTTTGAATGATAAACAATTAGTGGCTGTAAGTGTAAAGGGAATTTAAAATAATACAACATGTAATAAAATAAGAGGAATAAATCATGATTTTTGAATGTGTCTGACAGACAGTTTAATTATTTTACTTTTGTCTACAAAAAGGTCAAAATTCAGGGCACTCGTTTGGTCTTTTTTTGGGCCGAATATGGGGGGTAAAAAATATTGGGTACCATTCCCTTCTCAAAATCATATGCATTTTTCCCCTTTCTCAGAAATAAACCCCCTCCAAATTCTAAAATAAATCAACTTAAAATAATTTGTTTTATTTGTTAGTCTACATTAAAAATATATACTAGCTATTGATTTCAAATGTAGGAAAATTGCTAACTTTTGAATCCAATGGTAGGAAATAATGTAATGAGTAAATGTGTTAAAAAATGCACTAAATATTAAAAACATAAATTAATAATGTAAAATTTCGAATTTTGCCTTAAAACAACGCAAAATTCCCCTTCCTTAGGGTATGGGTTACTGTCCCCAAAAGGTGTCTAGTGCCCTGAAATTAATGTAAATATACTCTGTTTTAATTGGTTTTTCCTTCCGCAAGAAATGCTATGGTTTTTTGAGCAATTTTGATATGACGTTGCTTTACCTGAAAGAAAATATATCTCGAAGCGACGTAATATTTATAGGACTATTGGCATATATGCTTAATTGCTTAAATGCTTCGTCGACCAAAGTGCTTACGAGTAACTAATACAGTTGTATGCCGACTTAATTATCAACTTGTATATCTGCAGTAGCTGAAAATTACCTTTTTTTCAGAGAATTTCGGGTTATTTCCATTGCATGACATTCTGTTGAATAGTCCAACTAATCATACTACTCAACCTTTCAACAAGATATTGTGCTATTTTTTTTGTATCGGCAATATCTCCCCTCTAGAACCCAAAACAAACATATATATCTCAGAATCTAGCTTTTGCACGGCAATATATTTTGACTACCTGTTGACTAATATCTACATACTTGCAAGGGGTTTGACATTAAAGGAAGATAGATAGAACCAGATAACGAAATAAACCATGTACAACTAATGAATAGAAGCAGTCTTTAATTGGCATCCAGTTAGCTGCATTTAACAGCTATGGTAATCAATCAGTTAACTGTAGTGTTTAAATGAATAAATTGTCACTTATTCATGACATTACTAAAAGAAAAAAATACACTGATGAATTTCTTTACATAATGATAGGACCCTTTGATTACAAAAAGAATGTGAAAATGATATATCAGTTGGCTTATATTTCTCTTATATACACTGTTTACTTAAGACAACAACATATAGAGGTATTTATTTTGAGTTGCTTGTCACAAATTAAGTCTGAGGAGTAATGGTAGGCTCATGGCTCATTACTCTGAATTACCTTTTTTCAGAATTTTGCCCCTGACAAGTACCTATAATGGTGGAGCTTGCTGAGTTGCTGTGTTAATGACAGCTCTTGTTATTTATTTTATCATTATTTTGGTATTGATATCGCAACTGTTACTTTATAGTAAATATTGTTTTGAATACTTGAAAAATACAACATTTCTTTGCATGACTTTTTAATATTTAAATTGATTTCTTTCTCATTCTTGCAAATTGCCAGTTAATTACATTATTTATGTATCAATTAATTATAAAATTAGTTATTTTTATCTCTTTGAATATTCATTAATTTGATCTACCTTGTTGTGACCATGAATGATGTAATAAAACTTTATCTGTTGTAGATATAGATGGATAAATTAGGACTCCCTGGACCGCCAGGACTTGGACTTGCACAGGATGAAGAGTTGTGCTACTGGTATGTATCACAATTTGTTAGTATTAAAGTGAAATAAAAATCTGAGTGAATTTTCCCTGTGCTTTTCTATAAGCAGTGCCAATTTGGAAAGTGCAAAATCTGTACTATACATTGTGTGATTGTATAACAATGTACTATGCATGATAGCTATCTTTCTACAGGATGGAACAAAGTCATGTTTCAAATATAAAATACGATCATTTATTTTCGTCATTTTATCATGAATATTATGCCTGGTCATCATTGATAATTATGATAATCTACAAGTGTGTTAATTATTTTTATATTTCAGTGGAAAAGGTCGTAACTTGGGTTCAGTAGAACTTCAGTGTCAGACGTGTTCAAAATGGTATCATGCAGATTGTACAAGCTGTTACATTGGGTAAGTGTAATTTTTGTCTTTCAGTTCCATTACTTAAATAAATATTACAGTGTTTGCTTATTTCAAGTGAGAAGTACCTTTACTTCCTTTCTTTGGCTTAGCAGTTAAGGTTGTGGCCTTCAATTCACTTGCCTCTCTGTGAACGGGGGTTTACCACTAATGTATATTCACCTAGGAAGGTTGAATTCTTTCATGTGAGAGAAGTATTTGGCTAACTGCCATAAGTATTATGCATGAATGTAAGGGTACATTTATAGTTTTTCATCACCTTGTAACTGGTATTTTGCCATATGAGCAGTGATTATTTACTTTAATTACCCTCTACACCATTACCCTCAAGGGTTGACATTTATTATAAAACATAACACAAGTTTAAATTGTAAAATTATTCTGCCAATTCACATCAGTTTGAGAGAAAATTTGTCTTAACATTTAACATATTTGCCAAAATTGTTCTTCATTTTTGATTGTGATATCCAATTTTGTATGTTACAGAACCAATATACCATTCATGTGTAACTACATATACCAGTGCAAGTCCTGTAATCCAAATGGTCTGGAAAGTTTTCAGAAAAAACAAGCAAGTAAGTCTTTTAGCAATTATTTGAGTTTATTTGTCTGATACCAAAATATTGGAACTGCATAGGAAGCAATAATGAAACAAAATATCTGATACTTCTGTTAGTGTTATAGAGGTATTCCTGAAGTTGGCGAATGTTGGGTTTTCCAATCTTTTCCCAGGATACGAACAACTTGTTAAATATGTGTGAAGTAAGCGCAACACATTTATAATTCAGTTGTGAACAAAAGTGTCCTGTGAAGCTGGTAAAAGTTAGTTTGTATCCTGTGATTTGATGGGAAAAACCTTCATTTGCTGAGTTCCAGATAACATAATTTTCACCTTTTAAAAAACATGAATCAGTTTCTCTGTTATATAATTCAAAGTTTTTAACTGTAGGGAATGAAAAATATAATTTCGCACACAATTTGGTTAGCAGTTATTGATAACATCAGTAATACATAAGTAGATCACCACTTATCACTGTTAACTTTTTATACAAAAATTGGAAATGTACATGTTATTACTTTTTTGATAGTTTGAGATTTCAGTTTGAAAATCATACATGCGTTAATTCAGAGATTGTAGAGAAAAATTTCTGTAGTCTAACCCTTAACCTGCAGAATTTGTGTAATGGACTTTTCTTGCTTTGATTTTGGAACAGTCCATTCAAAGTTTAAGGGATTTCAATATCAAGATACAAAAATTAAGCTACCAACACTATGGAGCCTGGTCACACTGCACATAAGTGCAGGCCCCCTGGTTCTACACTTGTGACAAAGGCTAATAACTTTTGGTCCTAACAGGTTAAGGGTTAAACAAGGCAGTTTTTTTAGACACAATGAGTAACTCTGTTAAATTTTCAGGCTTCCAACAGATATGTTACACAGCATTGGCGAATGTAACTTACATTTCTAAAGTGAGAGATGAGAACCGAGTGATGTTTTCTCGAGACAAGGTAATTAATAAATAATACTGAATTTAATGTGAAAAGATTTAAAAAGGAAAAAGGTCAGAGTGTCATTCATGCCTGTATGGTTAAGGTTACTGATGTTGAAATGTTTGTTCATCCTTATGGTTGTAGGTTAGAATCCCATCAGGCCTTCTGATACTTTCATGTGAGGAAGCTATCAAGCTAGCTCCAAGTAGGCCAGTGGTTCTTCTCGGGTGCCTGCACTTGCCTGAAATACATGTAGTATACAAAGGGCTTTTGTTATATAATTTACATGAGTATTATGAATAGACAGAACAAAACAGTCTTTAACAAAATATTACATTTCTATATCATGTATGGGTGTCCTTGGCTGAAAGGGTAAGATCTTTGACTTCAAACCACCTTGCCTGTCATAACTGTGGGTTGAATCCTGTTTCAGGGATTGTGAATTCTTTATGTAAAGAAGCTATCTGGCTAACATCAGGAACAATGGTATTCTACTTAGGTGCATTCTTGTGCCTGAAATAACTTTTGGTCAATTTCTATACCAGTAAAGCTGGAATGTTGCCATAAGACATTTACAATGTTAGTCGTTACGTGCAACTTAAAACCAAAAATTTTTATTTGTGACCTTAGTATGGCTTGAACCCATGCCTACCAGGCTGAGAGACAGACACCTTATAGCGCCACTAGGCCAGTGCTTTTGATAAATTGACATATTGATGTATTTCAGGAGATAATACCTTTTATAGAGAAACATTGGGAGAACATGACAACAATGCCCCGGCGTGTCAAGTTGACCTGGCATAATACTGTACACAAAACACTGGTATATATAATTCATTATATCATCTGAATGTTTGCTTTATTACATATATAAGAATTAACCCAAGTGTACCCTGAACACTTATTGAGAATTATGTTCTTATTCTGTATTGGAAAATAAAACTTGGAAAATAAAACTTAGAAGTAGTATTTTATCCAATGGCAATGAGATTTGGACCAAGTGCACAGTTTTAGATGTGAAATTGAACTTTGATATCAGCTGACCTTAATTTTGATGAAGTGACTTACTCAACTGACCTAGATAATTTACAAAGTTACCTACTTTCTTGTCCTTTGATGTACAGCTATGAAATTTGGATTGTTGAGGATGTTATTCTTATAAATTTCAGGCTAGGGAAACAGATATTTTCTTCGGGAATGAGACAGCAGCTGGGGATATACAGTTTGGACTCCTTAACTCGGTATAAAACATTATACTCTTTATTGTATGTACTTTAATTTCCTGTGACTGTCTTCATTTTTTTCCCCAAATCCTACTTTTCATGTGTGCTTTATGAAGCTTTTCAACCAATATTTATATAATATGCATTTGCATGATTAGGTGTAACAGGCATTGATGTTTTCTTTGTTGTTTTCTTTTCAGGATTTATATAAAGTAACTCCAGCATTTGAGATTTTAACTAAAGGCAATACACAAATACAAGCCAGTCAGAAACCTGGAGTGCCAGTAGATAGTAAGCTTATATATATATGATAAATTTCAATATACATTTTATTCATGATTTATTTTTAGTATTTCACCAATTTTCATAGTATGTTTAGTTACTGTAACAACAAAAATTCGATATTTTACTTTGAATGTGATGAAAGCTTCAAGCTGATCGAATTACTATCAAATCCAAGTCCTTTAACTTGCCAGTAATGGTGTCTTATTGAAAACAAATAATGTGCCAAGAAGGGTTCCAAATGTTGTTTCGACATGGCTGTTACGCTGTTTAACACGTCAGACTAGAAATCTGAGGATAAACTGATTGTGTGGGTTCTTAACCTTTAAGTTAGGCCAAATGTTTCCTTAGCAAAAACTACATTCTTTGCTTTGTACTGGTTTGGGCTTCAGGAATTCAATAAGCTTAATAGCTTCCAACACAATCAAACGAAATAAATTTTGTGTATACCTAATGCATGTTTCCTGACTTAAACCAAACATTTGACCTCAGATGTTTCATACATGTATATGGTTTTAGATAATCGCATCTTTTTAGGAACTTGATTGTTTGTTATTAAATCGGTCAGAACCTGTAAAAGTAAATTATTATTCAAAAGTGTAAGGGGGGGTATATTGGAAAATCAGCTTGCCCGTCCGTCCGGACTGTCCGTCACCGTCGCCGGCTGTTTTTTCTTGTCCGCCCAATAAACTTAAGATTCCTTTGACCCTTAGTCTTCATATTTGGCATGGAAAGGTTAGCATGAAGTAGATGGACCCTATTGATTTTGAGGTCACTAGGTCAAAGGTCAAGGTCACAGGGGCCTTGACTTCAAAAAGCTTGTCCGCCCAATAACTTAAGATTCCTTTGACCTACAGTTGTCATATTTGGCATGGAGGTCAGTCATGATTAGTAGATGACCCCTTTTGATTTTGAGGTCAAAGGTCAAGGTCACAGGGGCCTTGACTTCAAAAAGCTCTTCCGCCCAAATAACTTAAGATTCCTTTGACCTACAAGTCTTCATATTTGGCATGGAGGCTAGTCATGATAAGTAGATGACCCCTATTGACTTTGAGGTCACCAGGTCAAAGGTCAAGGTCATAGGGCCATGACTTCAAAAAGCTTGTCCGCCCAATAACTTAAGATTCCTTTGACCCACAGTCTTCATATTTGGCATGGAGGTTAGTCTTGATTAGTAGATGACCCCTATTGATTTTGAGGCCACTAGGTCAAAGGTCACAGGGGCATTGACTTCAAAAAGCTTGTCCGCCCAATAACTTAAGATTCCTTTGACCTACAGTCGTCATATTTGGCATGGAGGTCAGTCATGATTAGTAGAATGACCCCTATTGATTTTGATGTCACCAGGTCCAAAGGTCAAGGTCACAGGGGCCTTGACTTCAAAAAGCTTGTCCGCCCAATAACTTAAGATTCCTTTGACCCACAGTCTTCATATTTGGCATGGAGGCTAGTCATGATAAGTAGATGACCCCTATTGACTTTGAGGTCACCAGGTCAAAGGTCAAGGTCATAGGGCCATGACTTCAAAAAGCTTGTCCGCCCAATAACTTAAGATTCCTTTGACCCACAGTCTTCATATTTAGCATGGAGGTTAGTCATGATTAGTAGATGACCCCTATTGATTTTGAGGTCACTAGGTCAAAGGTCAAGGTCACAGGGGCCTTGACTTCCAAAAGCTTGTCCGTGCCAAATAACTTAAGATTCCTTTGACCCACAGTCTTCATATTTGGAATGGAGGTTAGTCATGATTAATAGATGACCCCTATTTGATTATTGAGGTCACACCAGGTCAAAAGGTCAAGGTCAAAGGGACATCAAAAAAGTTTGTCTGCCCAATAACTTTAGGATTCCTTGACACACAGTTCTTCATATTTGGCATGGATGTTGATTTTCATGATTAGTAGATGACCCCTATTGATTTTGATTGGGGTCACTTGTATCAAAGGTCAAGGTCATAGGGACTTTGACTTACAAAAAGTTTGTCCACCCACTGAAAATTTGAAAAACTTAAGATTCTTTTGAGGTTCGCCCACAGTCTTCATATTTGGCATGGATGTTGATCATGACTTATAAGGTGACCCCTATTGATTTTGAGGTCACTGGTCAAAGGTCAAGGTCACAGGGGACCTTGACAAAAAAAAAAAAAGTTTTTCTCTCAATTGCTAAAGAATGTCCTGTCCGCAATGTATTGAGTTTGACATTTCACATTTGAAGCATGTAGAATACATAACTTAGCAATGCACTGGCTTAGTAAACCTCAGATTTTGGCAGGGAGGTTGTCCTTGAGCTCTAAAATGGCCACTGTTGATTCTGACAAAGTGGTATGCGGGGGTATCACGCCATGATAGTGGCAGTTCTAGTTATTACTATGCTGATTGATATTTGAATATTTCATCAAGATATTTGATACCAGTTTTACGTAACCGTATAGTTTATGCCAACTAGGGCAAGAATAGTGTTGATGTAAATCATAAAATTGGTTGTGCTTTGTTTCATTTTTAACTACATTTTACATAATTATTTAATATAATCAAGAAAATCATCATTTTTTTACCACATCTGTATGGAGAGCACAATACAGTACATGTATTAATAGTAATAAACTTCTTAATAAGAAGTTGGTCCATTTTTGTCCTCACATTTATATAGATATAACATTCTGCTTTCAGAGGGGTTAAGAGGTCAGAAAAGAAAAGCAAATCAAGAGTTTTTACAGCTTGGAACAAATACAAAAGCAAAGAAAGGGTAAATGATAAAATTTATTTCAAACGTAGATGTTTAATTTGGTCAGTTGTTTGTTAGAATGTGGAATGAGAAATGTAATATCTTGTAGAATGTAAATTAGATATATTCTTTATTGAGTCATGAGAAATTTAAAATGATAAGCCTAACTAACATTTGTGTTAGATAACAATTAGCTATTATGATTAGTCCCCTACTATGCTTTTTTGTGTACAATATGAAAAATTATCAATAAAGTATTTTTGAAATACGTCATTTTGCATGAATTGACATACAAATTCCTTAGAACTTTATACACAAATTCTTTGAGGTATTTTTAATTTGATTTTAACATACATGTACTATATTATTATTATTATTATTATTATTATTATTATTATTATACAGAGAGGTGGTTAATATAGCCAGACTAGCTCCACATGGTTACCCCACAGAGCACCCCTTCAACAAGGACGGGTACCGTTACATCCTGGCTGAGCCCGATCCTCACGCACCAAACAGACAGGCCTATGATGAAAGTATAGAGTGGGCCGGTAAACCAATTCCTGGGTACCTGTATAGGACATTTCTAGGGTCAGAGGTTCTTCTAGCTCTTCATGATAGAGGTAACTGTCCGTCTTTTGTTGATAAAACTTTCATTACATGTTACTTGGACTTTTTCAATCACAAATAGCTTTTTACAAAATTTTTATTTATTTACATCATTTTGTTTAATAAAAAAAGATAAAATCTTATTTATTTAGATCATTTTGTTTTATAAAGGTTCTCAAAGGTGCTAATCTTTGGCTGAGAAGTAGTTTTTGACTCATTTGTTCAGAGTATTTTACATTTATTCCTTTGTTTTCATTAAAATGAATGTCTGCTGTGTGTTGTTTTGACTTTTTAATCTAAACATCATTATTCTGATCAAAGTTTGTTTTTATGCATGGAAAATGTGTTTCCTGATTTTACTTAGAACTTGCTATTTAATCTAATTATTTGATTCTAGTTGTTGACAAATCTTTAATTTAATCTGTAATTTGTTAACATGTTTTTATTTTAGCTCCAGATAGCATGTTTTAAAGTGGATCATTTATTTACAGGACCACAGTTGAAGATATCAGATGACCGGTTGTCTGTGACTGGGGAGAAAGGATACAGTATGATTCGAGCTACACATGGTAATAATTATACCCCCAAAAACGAAGTTTGGGGGGGTATATAGGAGTCACCCGGTGGTCGGTCGGTTGGTCGGTCGGTCGGTCCAGACGTCCGTTGCATTTTCCTTGTCCGGAGCATAACTTGAAGACTAATGGTTGGAATTCAATATAACTACATACAATGGTCAAGCACATTGAGAGGAAGTGCAGTGCACAAGAACCGTAACTCTATCTTGACTAATTACAGAGTTATTGCCCTTTGTTACTTTTCCTTGTCCGGGGCAATATGAAAACAACTGTTTGGAATTCAAAACAACTTCATACAATTGTCAAAGACAATAAGGGGAAGTGCAGTGCGTAAGAACCATAACTCTATCTTAAGTAATTACAAAGTTATTGCCCTTTGTTGCTTTTCCATTGCTTTTTTTGTCCGGACCATAACTTGAAGACTAATAGTTTCAATTCAATATAACTACATACAATGGTCAAGCACATTGAGAGGAAGTTCAGTGCACAAGAACCATAACTCTATCTTGACTAATTACAGAGTTATTGCCCATTTGTTACTTTTCCTTGTCTGGGGCATAACTTGAAAACAACTGGTTGGAATTCAAAACAATTTCATACAATTGTCAAACACAATAAGGGGAAGTGCAGTGCACAAGAACCATAACTCTATCTAAAGTAATTACAGAGTTATTGTCCTTTGTTACAGTATTTATAGAAATATTGCCCTTTGTTCCTTTTCTTTGTCTTTCTGGACTTATTACAGAGTAATTCAATTAAACTTCATCAATGGCCAACCACATTGAAAGGAAATGCAACATATAAGAACCACAAATATCTTTAATTGCCCACAACCATAACTCTATATTTCAATTTTTTTACAAGGTATTCTGTTACTAGTAACATCCTCATTTCCGAAGCAGTCTTGTGGGGGTATTAATCACATTTAGTGATAGTTCTAGTTTCATTTATTGTGTAAAGTTTTTTTAACTTAGTTTTCCAAAGAAAAAACTGGCTATTAGATTGGTGTATGTTGACAGGCTGGTATAACAATCTCTTCTGTGTGCAACTCCTACTACTTTTCTCAATAATGTCATCCAAAATTTTACAAAATAATTATCACCAGGTGTCTTGCGGCATATGATTTATTAAATTTTGGCAGAATAATAGGTCTTTGCTTTATTTTACATTGGTAATACTGGACAAAGCCACATAACTTGTTAGACACATAGTTGTGTATCAAATCACATTTACTCAAATTTAAGATATTTTTGCCAATGGCTATAAATAGATTTATAAATTGTTATTAGTCCCCTACCGGTTTACCGGAGGGGACTTTAGGTTTACCCTCCGTCCGTCTGTCTGTCCGTCCGTCAGTCCGTCCGTCTGTCCGTCCGTCCGTCAGTCCGTCCGTCCACAAAACTGGATCCCGCAATAACGCAAAAAGTACTGAAAATATTTTAATGAAACTTGATATATGGATAGATGGCAGTATGGAGATTATGCACGTCTTTTTCTTTTCTTCCTATGTTGAAAATTCTGGTTGCTATGGCAACAAATAGACTGAAAATATGACAAATTTTACACATAAACTGGATCCCGCGATAACGCAAAAAGTACTGAAAATATTTTTATGAAACTTGATATATGGATAGATGGCAGTATGGAGATTATGCACGTCTTTTTCTTTTCTTCCTATGTTGAAAATTCTGGTTGCTATGGCAACAAATAGACTGAAAATATGGCAAATTTTACACATAACCTGGATCCAGTGATAACACAAAAAGTACTGAAAATATGTTTATGAAACTTGACATATGGGTAGATGGCAGTATGGAAATTATTCACATCCTTTTCTTATCTTCTTATGTTGAAAATTCTGGTTGCTATGGCAACAAATAGACTGAATTTCAAGATTTCTGATTCTAGTTTTTAAGTTTTCTCACTATAAGTTCTTTATTTCTTAAGGTATTTTCTTCAAACTTTAAATATAAGTTGCTTGTCATCAACCACATCATATGTGACAAGGTTTACAACTCTAGCACAAAATTTATCAGAATTACCTCCCTTGAACTTGAAATTTTCATGGAAAAAACATTGTTTTTTTTAATAACTTCTTTTTCTGAATGTATCTACTTCAAACTTCATATAAATGTTTCTTATTGTCACTCAACATTTGTGAGTGTTCAATACTCTAGCAAGACTATTTCCAGAATTATGCCCCTTTTGAACTTAGACTTTTTTTTGAGAAATTGGTAATTTTTACTCCAACTTCTTCAATCATGATAGGATTTTAAAAATGTTATATTTTGATAACAGGGATGTTTAAAAAATAACTTTAGAGTGTCTTTCAGTCTGAATGTACATAAAAACTATTTCCTGTGATCACTTTTAAAGAACTTTTTCAACAAATTTACTTTAAATAGGAACCTAAGTGAATGGCCAATGGCCCATAGAATGTTGCTTGGGCTCTTACCGGTAGGGGACTTATGGATTGCTTGCAATACTATGATAATTGCTTGTTTATTGAAATATTTGATCCCAAATAAAGGGAAGTCCTTAATTGGTCTTACTTTCAAACATTTAATTAAGATTGTTGAATACACTAGGGCTGGGGCGAGTATCCGAGTACTCGGATAATCACGAATCAAAGTGAAACATCGAGTTTGAATATTCGAAAGCACAGAGATCGTGGATCGCGATCTAATTTTCTTTTATACATTCACTGTTTTTCACACACTTTTAAAAAAATCGAGAAAAATACGATTAGAGTATAAATTATATGAAGTTTAACTAAATACAATTTGCTGGTGTACCATGATGCTGAGCTAGGAAGTAATTGGTTTCAAAAACAAAACAAAAATACTCATCCAAAGAATAAAAACATAAACCTTGTTTATATTTCATGTTTAATGTTTAGTATTGTTTTTTGTTTTAAATAAACATGTTTTTATAACTAATGTACATATTTTATGTGTGCCTTGATAACAAAAGAATTGTGGTTCGATTTGTGAATCGTAAGTGCTGAATCGTGATTAGGATCGGATCTTCACTTATCCGGCGATCCACGCCCCTAGAATACACTAAAGTAACTCACAATGGTTAGGAAAAAAGTCCCTTTGGTCGGAAAATTTGAGAGTGGCTGAATGAATTACTTGTATGTTGCTCTATTCAGAGACGAAAATATTCAAACTTTATAAAACAGTATTATTGAATGACCTTGGTCAGTTTTATAGACTTTGTAATTCATATTATGGGATATTTAAATGTTTATATTTCCAGGTGTGAGACGAGGATCATATTATTTTGAAGTTGTGATAGATGAGATGCCAGAAAATACAGCAACCAGAATTGGCTGGGCTCAACAATTAGGTAACTGAATTTATATTAATCATTTATCTATATAACATTTGTCTTAAAGGAGATCCATTGAGGTCAAAAAGACCCAAAAAAAATAAATTTAGAATTCTTACATAATACAAGTGAAGCACTTGAAAAAATCTGCTAAGGATAATAACATAATATGCACAGAACTAAATTGAAAATAGTTTTTTTTTGCGATTCTTTGCCAGATTGATGAATGAAAAGCATTGCAATGCTTTTCAATTTTGGGTTATTTTGCACGATAAAAATATATTCCGAAACAGTTTATTCTGTTATATTCATGTGTTTTAAATAACAGAAACATTCTAACACCATAATTTTATCGATTGTAAATAATATTTTATTTGAAAAAAGTTTTGTACCCTTTAAAGACATTATCTAGCTGTATTAATAAGCCACTCCCTCTTTATTCTCTATTCTTATTAAACAAAGTTATTATCATGAAACTAGTGACCAAGTTAACATTTATATTTATGTGAGGTCCAGACACATAAAAATGGTATGAAAAGTTAATCTGAATTTTAGCAAAATTATAATATATAAATTTGTCATTACTTTCCTTGTACCAATATTAAGTATGGGTCTCAGTCATCACAATTGCAGCATACAGCTATTAAGGCCATATCGTCACCTCAGTGCAATAACAGGTTATCTACTATTAAATTATATTAGAAGTTAAGTCGTTGCTGCACTAAGGTGTCAATATCTGTAAGACCAGTTGGTACATCTGTACTATTTGATGGTGGCGGCACTGTTAGCTTCTCAGTTATATATAATATGAAATTCCCCTAAAAATGATGTATGGTTTGTCTAGAATGAAAGCCGGACAAGTCCATTAAAGATGTTTAGTGTGGTTAGGATTTTTTTAAATATTTTCCAGCCAATTTACAAGCGCCCTGCGGTTACGACAAATTCAGTTATTCATGGAGGTCACGGAAGGGTTCCAAGTGTCATCAGAGCTATGTCAAACTGTATGGTGAGGGGTACAAGGAGGGGGATGTTATTGGGCTCCATATTAATCTCCCAGAACCTAGTGATCCCAACTGTCTACTTCCTGTCACTCACAAAGATAAGGTATGTGCCTTAGATTAGTGCATGTTTTTATATATTATCATTTTGTCCAACAAATGTTAACCAACCTTTTTCTTTAGTTTAAACATATTTATTTAAGCTCAATTGTGAAACAAGTTCTTGCAACTTATATTAACCACTTTCGAGTCTGCTTCCTGGAACCAACCAGTACTGATGAATATGAAGAAACATGGTTGTGACCCCTAGTAGGGCTCAAATCCATGATCCCTGGGTTGACACTTAAACCACTAGGCCTCAGTTCATCTTTTTCTTCTTTTTATGCCCCCGCCATATAATGGCAAGGGCATATAGTGTTACCCTGTTCCGTCATTCCGTCATTCCGTCCTTCCGTCCTTCCGTCATCATCAGTTTCCGTTCATTATCTTAATAACCGTTGCACATATTGAACTCAAATTTGACATATAGATATGTCATGAGAAAATACAGGTCAAGTTCGAAATTGGTCATGGTTCGATGATTTTTGGCAGAGTTATGCCCCTTTTACTTTGAAAATAATATGAAATTTTCAGTTTCCGTTCATTATCTCCCCAACGGTACAACACATTCAACTCAAACTTGACATATGGATATGTCATGAGAAAATACAGGTCAAGTTCGAAATTGGTCATGGTTCGATGATTTTTGGCAGAGTTATGCCCCTTTTACTTTGAAAATAATATGAAATTTTCAGTTTCCGTTCATTAACTCCCCAATGGTACAACACATTCAACTCAAACTTAACACATGGATACGTCAAAGGAATGCGCAGGTCAAGTTCAAATTTGGTCATGGTTCGATGATTTTTGGCAGAGTTATGCCCCTTTTACTTTGAAAATAATATGAAATTTTCAGTTTCCGTTCATTATCTCCCCAACGGTACAACACATTCAACTCAAACTTGACATATGGATATGTCATGAGAAAATACAGGTCAAGTTTGAATTTGGGCATGGTTCGATGATTTTTGGCAGAGTTATGCCCCTTTTACTTTGAAAATAATATGAAATTTTCAGTTTCCGTTTATTATCTCCCCAACAGTATACACATTCAACTCAAATTTGACATATGGATATGTCAAAGGAATGTGCAGGCCAAGTTCAAATTTGGTCATGGTTCGATGATTTTTGGCAGAGTTATGCCCCTTTCACTTTGAAAATAACATGAAATTTTCAGTTTCCGTTTATTATCTCCCCAACAGTATTACACATTCAACTTAAATTTGACATGGATATATTTTTGGAATGCGCAGGCCAAGTTCGAATTTGGTCATGGTTCAATGATTTTTGGCAGAGTAATGCCCCTTTCACTTTGAAAATGATATGAAATTTACAGTTTCTGTTCATTATCAACCCAACAGTGTAACATATTCAACTCAAAATTGACATATGGATATGTCAAAGGAATGCGCAGGTCAAGTTGGAATTTGGTCATGGTTCGATGATTTTTTTGCAGAGTTATGTCCCTTTCACTTTGAAAATAATATAGATACATCTTAGGAATAAGCAGTTTAAGTTGGAATTTGGTCGTTGTTCAATGATTTTGGACAAACTTATCTTTCCTGAATGTTGGAAAAATTTTGAACTTTGAGTTTAAAGGCCCAACTGAACTATAAAACTATAAAAGCCAGCAGATGGCGCTAGGGCAGGTTTCTTATTAATTTTATGCATGCTTCACTTCAGGGACCCTTTTTCAAAGATTTAAGATTAATTACCAAATGCATTTAAACAACACTTGGCATGTATGTAGGCATATATATTCTAGATATAGATTGACCAAAATTATTCAAAATAAAACTTTGTTAAGTGTGTTTCTGGAAAAAAATACTGGCTGTCAAATTTGAAATTTGAATTTCCATAGGAGGAGCCAAGTGATCATTACAGGTCATGAACCTTCAGTAGTAAACAGATGCACGTGGCAGTGTTTATTTCAGTGAGAGAGATTTGTAGCAGACGATATATATTTCAGGGAGGGAGATTTTCAGCGACACATTCAAATGCTGAATACATGATAAGAAAAAACAATAATTTTTACTGATCTTACTTTATCAAAAAGTATTTATATCCAACAAATTTACAATAATCCATTAATCTATGATTTTTTTTTTAATTTCAAAGTACTGATTCAATTTGTATTTAAATGGTTTAAACTTCATGAAAACAGTAAAAGTAACTTCCAGGTATATTTCATTTACACTATATTTTGTTGTAAGTATCTTGTAGTCAAAATTACATTTCACAAATGTTTATCATTTGTATAAAATTTTTATATATTAATAGTTTAAAAATATTTTAAATTCCTGTCAAGGTCATTTTTAGCAGTTTTTCTTAAAAAAAATGTCCCATGTAAGGCACACCCTTTGGATTTGGACATAGTTGTCTGACTTGATGAAAAACAACTGACTTCAAAAATAATATCTGGACAAGATGGCTTGATAATGTCTTTTAATTAATCTGATTAATCTGTGAGTTATATAAAACATCCATTAAACCTCTCCTGTGTAAAATCAGCTGTTTTGTTTACATTCTCTCTGCAGGTTAACACTGCATTCTATTTTTAGCTCATGGTTTATAACAGACAGTTTTACATCACTGATTAGTCACACCCACAAATACTCCGCGGCAGCGAATGTTGCCCCTTTAAGCACTCATACTTTTGTGGAAATGTATATAGCCATTTTTTTGGCTACAAATATGCAATATGCTATTTTCAAAAGGTTAAGACTGAATAATTTCAGTGCCTTGAACATTGTATAAAAATGGTTTGTGTTAACATTGAAAAGTTTTAAGGGCTTTGAACATAGAATGAAAAAAATAATTTGTGCAAACAAATTTGGAACTAAATATTATAACATTTGAAATTTTGGCTGCATGCATCCGTGGCAATATGACACATTTCTAGTTTTTAACATTATGTCCGAATTTAAGTCATCTTGGAACATTAAATAAAAATTAATGGAAGTCTGTTTTTGTCTAAAAATGTTCAGAACAGACAATTTCCTATCTCCCTGAAAGCACAATCACAAACAACTATTGGAGTTCTGTATGCCTTTTATACTTACAAGAATTTTTGGGAGACATATTCCTTTTGCCTCTGCCATCTGTCCTTCCATCCATCCATTTGTCTGGTTGTCCGTCCGTCAGCATTAAGCTTGTCTGGCCTTCCTAGGTCAAACGAAAAGTAGGATTTCAACCAAACTTTACAGAAGTGATCATGTGCACCTGACCGGCACATTCCACAAAACTGACACCAGAGCTTTAGATAGAAAAATCATTTCCTGCTTTCACAGGTCAAACTGTTGTTTGGATTTCAACAAAACTTTACTGTACTTGATCAGTACCATCCCTAGTTGTGCACATCACCGGCACGTTCTGCTTTGCTACACAAAATGGTCGCCAGACCTTAAAAATAGAATAATTTTGTCCGGCTTTCACAGGTCAAACTACTGGTGGGATTTCAACCGAACTTTACAGGAGTGTTCAGTACCATCCCATGTTGTTCACTTCAACAGCACTTTTTGCTTCGCTCCACAAAATGACTGCCAGAGCTAAAAATAGAAAAATCATGTCCGGCTATCACAGGCCAAACTGCTGGTGGGTTTTCCATCAAAATTCACAGGAGTTCAGTATCATCCCTAGTTGTGCACATCACCGGCATGTTCTGCTTTGCTACACAAAATGGCCTCCAGAGCTAAAAATAGAAAAATCTTGTCCAGCCTTCACAGGTCAAACTACTGGTGTGATTTTACAGGAGTGATAAGTATCATCTCTTGTTCTGCACATTACCAGCATGTTCCGTTTTGCTGAACAAAAGGGCCACCGGAGCTAAATATAGAAAAATCTTGTCTAGCTTTCACAGGTCAAACTACTGGTTGGATTTCAACCAAACTTCACAGAAGTGATCAGTACTATCTTAAGTTGTGCATTTTGCCAGCACATTTTACTTCACTGCACAAAAAGGTCGCTAGAGCTATAAATAGAATAATCTTGTCCAGCTTTCACAGATAAAACTGCTGGTTTGATTTCTATGAAACATCATAGGAGTGAACAGTACCATCCCTAGATGTGCATATCACCGGCATGTTCTGCTTCACTGCACTGAATTGCCGCCCGAGCTATAAATAAAAAATCTTGTCCAGCTTTCACAGGTCAAGCTACTGGTGGGATTTCAATGAAACTTCACATGAGTGACCATACATAGTTTTCGGAAACATGTTTTTGTGACAAAAACTCTTATACTCATTCTAGTACTTTTAAAAAATTGGTTATGTAACTTATTGATATAACACTTTACCTTTATGAAAGAATGTGCCTCGGTATATGTCTCTGTGACAGGCAAATGCTATTTGGGGGGGGGGGGGTGCAGAATTAAGTGCCCTATGCACTTTTCTAGTATAAACTTCTTATAGGTTAACTTGAACAATAACTGTTTGACTAGAATGGTAGATTAAGACTTTGTATAGCCCACAGTTTAACAAGCTTTGTTCTGTAACCCTGAGAAATTCGGGGACATATTTCAATATAGCAGGGGAGAATGTCACTGTCCAGGACTGTTCTTTATATAGCGGAGAAGATGTGTAAGCGGCTGGATAGTTCACTCTGTGAAAGTGACTGCGTATAGCCAACAGTTTAACCCATTACCAGATATATACGCCTTTCTACGCCTTTTTCACCCCCCCCCCTTTTTGCTTCCTCAAATGGTGAAAAAATGCCTTATTTAGGCCCCTAAACACTTGTTTTTGTTTGAGAAATGTTGTTCAAAAAATTGACCACTTTTTCGGCGCGGCCCCCCATCCAAAAGATACATCAGGGGGTTGCCAGAAGGGGGATGTGCCCCCTTCTGTTTGGGGGGTTTGAAGGGGGGCGGAGAAAATTTTGGACTTGTGGGAGGCTAAAAATGGCCCCAGGTCAATCATAAGGTAACGTGTAACCAATGCTGAAAAGCCTTTGACTCTATCTCGATCCGTTGAGAAGTGGCAGCACTTTGAAATCAATTTTGATGGAAAA